TTGTACAGTGTTTTGTTAAATAGTAATATTTTTTAAATTAAAAATTACTTAACAGTAAAATAAATGTAATATTCAAAGCATCTGGTAATTTTTTCTTACTTCCCAATATCCCTGAGAATAAACAAGCAACTAATGTCACTACTGTGCTAATTTTCACAGATTCCCAAACTCCAATTGTATGTGCAAATTTGCAATGGGACAACACATAACAACACTGTAAGTCTAGACATATAATTTTTCTCCAGTTAAATGAGGTACAGTACAACGTCTATAATTTGGAATATTAGGGGCTCTACCCTTGCCAAAATATATAAAATTCCGAATTAGGATAAATTGTATGCACCGCGGCACATGAAGTCAACACACAATTTACTGTAGTTGTATTAGTGTATCAGCAAAAATTTCTATACAGTAAAGTGATTAACAACAAAGACATAGTTCAGTCAATAAATCAGGTTGGATGAGGTTTCAAGGACCTGTTGTTATATATATATATATATATATATATATATATATATATATATATATATATATATATATATATAGTTGTTATGTTATTGGTTGTTATTGTTACAGTTGTTGTTATTATTGTTAGACATATTGCTACATACATATGTTGCTTTCGCTATTGTTAAGTTATTGTTACAGTTATTGGATATATATATATATATATATATAGCATACAGTGACCGTTTAATCCAACACCGTTAACGTAATTTCGATTAACGAACTGCCTTCCATAAGGATCTTCAATTCGGTTAACGAAAAAAAATTCGCTTAACGAACTTCTTACGAACCGACCTCAACATGTTTTCGCTTGCCCTGACCGGGCAACCAGCTTTAGTATCAGTCCGCCAATACATTAATCGGTTCTAGGGATTAAATTCCTTACTATTTTTGTAAATATCAAGAAGTTTATACTATTCAATAATTTTAAAAGTTTAATATTCAATTTTTTAGTCATTTTAACAATTATTGAACAAAATTGAAGGTAAAGTGACTAGTTTAATGCGCGGCATCCAGCCTCTTAACACAGCAAACAGGCGTCAGTCTCTCTCTGTTTTCACTGGAGGTAACATCTTGCTTGAGACTCTCTTCAACTAAACGCTTTTTTTCTGTTTCCAAGCAAATTATTGGTCATTTTGAAATATATTTTATATATTGACAATATATAATGTAGTGCAGCGTTGATTTAAAGAAAATAATCTTGAATTAAACCAGAGAGCTAAAATTTTATGGGTGAAATGGCACCATGGGGTGACTTCTCTTCCACCCCAATGCCTTCTCTTCTTCCTTCTCCTCCACCCCCATTCTAAATCCCATCATCATCATCATCATCCAGGAGCCTTCTACATACACACCTCAAAGAAAGTGAACTTTTCTACCGTTTTTGTTGAATTTAGGAAATTTTCGGTGAGCTGGAACCAATTACCCAAAAACCCATTGAAACAATGGTTTCGGTTAACGAACGTTTCGGTTAACGAACGACCTTCTGGAACGGATTGAGTTCGTTAACCGAGGGGCCACTGTGTATGTGTATGTGTATATATATATATATATATATATATATATATATATATATATATATATATATATATATATATATATATATATATATATATATATATATATATATATATATATATATATATATATATATATATATAATTTTTTTTTGCATTAATGTATATACTGTATTAATACTTAACCACAACAGTCAATAAGATAAGTAAGGTGAGGTGATAGTTGATCTTCCTTACATTCCTTATTTATTGCAGCCAGCACTTTCTCTTACAGATAAAAGATGTTTGTTTCCTTCTTAAAATTACAAATTCAGCCACCTGCATTGACCCGTAATCTACAAGAAATTCCTAATATGATAACTAAATCCGGTCTTGTGCAGATAAACATGTGAAATCATGTTCTTTGCTATTTCCCGCCACTCAGTACACTTCTTCCTGGTCAAATACGAGTCTGCACAACACAAATCTGCCTTTATGTGTGAAATTAATTGTAAAGCTAATGTGCCCATCATAAAGGCAAGGCCACCTATACAGGGTGATTCAGGAAAGAGTACATTAAATTGGAAGAAGAAATCCTTGGATAATTGTCAGTGCCGGATTAACCATGAGGCACTTGAGGCACTGGCCTCAGGCCCCCCGACTCTAAGGGGCCCCCAAATCCAAACATTCTCAAAGTTGAAGCGTATAAAACATGAACTTCGTTCAACGATGTCCTAGCAAAGTCTCAATTTTCTGTCTCTCATGAACATTAAATGTGTTATTTTGCAAAGCTTAATATTGATGAAATCATTGATAAATTTGGGTATATTTTGTTCTTGTTATTTATATATACCTTGAGGGTAGGGGGCCCCAAGTTGATCTGTGCCTCAGGCCCCCCCCTATTAAGCTTAATCCAGCCCTGATAATTGTAAACCACAATGTCTCCATGGTAAAATATCAGTCTGCATAGTTTCCATGTTGCAATACATTAAGTTGTTGTATTAATGAGAGTGAATTTGATGTGAAACCCCCCTAGGTTTTTGAAATCATTTATTCACAGATGTCTTATGTACAGCAGTACAGAGTGATACAGATGGCTGACACGGGTTGGAATGAGACAGGGACCGTGTACGACCGAATGAGATAAAGGATTACAAAAACCTACGGGGGTTTCACATCAAATTCACTCTCTTTAGTACAACTTTAATGTATTGCAGCATAGAAATTATGCAGAATCTGACATTTTGGTTTATAATTAACCAAGGATTTCATCCTCCAATTTAATGTACTCTTTGCTGAATCACCTGTATATTAGTTGTTATGAGTTATCATATGGCTGCCATTTTAAATTTGGCATAAACCAAACGTCATACAGCCTTCCACCCACGTATCCGATCCCTTCCCAAAGAGTTGTAATGTGGCAAAATATGTCATAGATTTATACTGTATTGATATATTCTAAATAAAATGTGCTGGTGGAAATATTACTGTGTACCAATTTACATTATCTCCATTGTGTTTGCATACTACATTTATAAGATGAACAAAATCCTCCAGTTACAAATATTGTAAAGATTTGTATTTAAGTATCTTAATATCCAATGGTTTTGTTTTGAATAAGAGTATTGTAATTTATACGATACAGATACTTTTTTAAATACAAAAGTGCAAGAGAGGACGAGAGTGAAAGAACATTTCATATGCTCAGTGACAAGCATGTCTCCCAGTGGAGGCTTGTGAAGGTTCAAATTAGAGGAACTACAGATGATTCATAACTAGAATATTACAACTGATAAATATTTACTTACATCAGCCTTAGAATAAGCAGAACATGGATCACTTGAGCAAAGCTGATTACTTAATGTGAAATCCATTCAACTGCTCATTAATTACAGATTTTGACCATTATATGAATGATTGGCAAACACTCACTCAGCTTTACAATGTTAAGAAATTAACACCAAACACCTGTATGCAATGACTAAGATCAGATTTATGATGATCGATACCCAATGGCTATCCAAATGCTTTTCCTGTACTGTCACTATAAAAAAGTGATGTGCTATAATTCGCAATATTCCAAGATATGACGATGCAATCACGGAATGACATAACCAGTGTGACCTATGTGGGATGCGTGGGAAGCTCTGCCTGTCTCCGGTGACTGCCCCAGCTGGGCAGCTGAACTGTGTCAAGTCGCCCAGAGGATGGTTTGCGTGAGGAAGAAGCTATTATATTTGTACATAAAATAATATATACTGTACCACTAAATGTGAGGAATAAATCAAACTAATGCTAATAAATAAAAGAAGGGAAAAAAAATTCATTGCCATTTGACATTCATTTCACTACACATGGGACACGAGACAGGGAACAGCTGAGAGCCCCCACTTCGCCCCCCCCCCTCCCTCCCTCCCCTGTTCTGTGTGATGATTCCTGTGCAAATGTTTATTCCCTTTATGTTTTGAAGTACAAACACCCCACCTCAATATCTAGCTGTTAACTAAGGTACAATACCAATCCCATGTCTGGCAGCACTATGCTGCTGCATGTGTAAGATTAGGTGGGAAAGAAATTCATCTTCAAGATCAGAGATATGAAACATCTGCCAGTATAGCATTGAGAAGCTGCAGCTCTATAGACCAAATAGACATACCACTATTGAAATTAAGTGTCTTTTTTGAAGTGTTATTTCATTCTATTATTTCTTTAATGTTTTTAATTCTATTATTTCTTTATGGTTATTGATATGTTCTATTAGGTGATTATTCTTTTAATGTCATAAAGTAGTAGTGGATATGGGACTGAGGCAGTACAGGAAAAAGTTGTGGAATGCATTCTTATTTTTTATATTTAAATAGTTGTGTTTTTTTAAGATTTTGGCATTTGCAAGCTTTCAGGTTAAGATTTTTTTAACCGATTAATTCTGACAAATTATGACTTAAGGAGATTTTACTGTATATTCAATCATAATTCATATGAACAACTTAGGACAAAATTCTGGACTTCCTCTCAGTCCTCAAAAATCTGTGTACAGTATCTACTATCATGGAAGATAAATGTATATAATATCTATTATCCGCCAAATAATGAATGTGTAAACTGGTGTCATCAGGTGATCACATCCATATAAACACTGGTCTAATTTTTCCATGAATTTAATACTCTTGGCACTAGCAGTAACAGTGTCATTGCAAAGAATAAAATTTATATTTCATATGGAGTACTAATCATCGTTATATTTTTTCAATACGCTCATGTAGGCACCTAAGAACTATACAGGACCATTATGACTATGAGAACACAAACAGCACCCAGCAGTTCTCAGTAAAGCATCACAAGATATCAAAAGTTAATTCACATCTTATATTCATGGAACAGGAACACATTATCCACAGACAAACATCACAAAAACAGACTCGAACATGACAATCATCTAGAAATTACACCTCTAGTAGCTAAGGAAACATTTTTGTCATACACAATAAAAAAATACCAGACTTTAAAACATTTTTATATAATGATATTCACTAACTACCTGTAATGTGTTGACTGTTCTTGTCAGCTTCCCAAACACAACAAGTGTCATCCAACCTTTCTGAAGGAGGTGCAGAGTGTCATGGTCTCTCAAGTTTTTATCTCTTTCTTCTCACATTTTTCAAACGTGTCTAAATATCCACCATTTCATCAAAATGGTACTGATAAAAAAAAGCCATTTACTTATTTTGATTTACATGAAGAAATATCACCGAGGGCAGGTAAGTTCTGTTGGCATCAGACCACTTGATAAAGACAATGATAATTTTCAGAGTTCCCAATGTACACTGATGTCCATAACTAAAATATCTTTAATATAGTACAGTACAAAAAAAAACACAAGGTATATACTCAGACCTTGTTGTTTACTCACATGTTGGTAAACTAAAATGTGAGAAAAATAACGACAAAGAACATGACTGGTGGTCAACTGTCTACTTTGAGCAGTGGCTTCGTTAATGCCTTTCACATTCAGAAGCAATAAATTATCTTGATGCAAAGTTCTCCACTCTTTAAGTATAATATGCATTTTTTCCATAAAAATATTTTTTTTTGTAATGACAACAGTTTTACTATAGCCTAAGAAGAGACAAAACTACAAATGCTTTCATTTAAAAAAAAAAGTTTTCTATTGATGTGTGTGCTTCTAATGTTATTTCTTCTGATACCCTACACATTTAGATTACTGAAACTGTCTTCTATACATTTTCCTCAACAGAGTTAAGAGAGTTAAGCAGGTCTTGGTATTCATCTTTAGTCATTTCTAGTTCCTGAGTTCCCAGGTGTCGTTTCCGTCGGTAACGAGCCTGACTGGTAGCCTCAATACACAACACAATGAAGGAGTTGTGGCAGCCAAGCCGCTCCTGGGCCAGCAGACGGCTCTTCAGCAAGGAGGAGGCCAGACCCACCACATCGTGAGACTCACTATTCCAAGCATCACAATATGAGGATAGTGCTCGCTCACCCAGCAGGTCAGATCCATGCCACACATACTTCTGTGGCCTAGAAGGTAAATATTATATAATACTTTTGTTACTTGTTTAATACAGTAATATCTCCGTTAGCGGGAATCCCTCAAACCCGGAACTCTCCAATATCTGGAATTGAAATTTTCTCGGAAAATCATTCTCAAAACCGGAATTTCCCCAGTACCCGGAAAATTCCGGGAGTGGTGGATTTTTTTCAGGGCTTGAGAGAAGAAAATCAGGTGCATTTTCTTGAAATTCTGAGAAAATTTTTCTGCTACCCGGAAAATTCTGGGAAGGGGGGATATTTATCCCGGTTTGAAAGATGATGTACAGTAATGCGCAATTTCTGGAACTTCTGAGAACATCTTTCCATCACCAGGAAAATTCCGGGGATGAGAGATTTTTTTCCTGCTTTGAGAGATGAAATAATGCATCATTCTGGAACTTCTGAGAAAATGTTTCCGTTACCCGGAAAATTCCGGGATGAGGGTTTTTTCCGGCTATGGGAGAGTCGTCTCATTACCCGGAAGTTTCTAATTCCTGGAAGTGCTCTACACCAATTGCTCTGGCTAACGGACATATCAAAAAGTGTTTCATTAAAATATGTTAACACAGAAGACTCTATCTTTGTGAAAAGTTATAAAGTACAGTATTCATATTGTCTTTCATATATGATTTTCTCCTTTGATGAAGAGATGAAATTGATATTCTATTCTGAATTTGGTAATAATTCATATTCATGTGATTAGGTTGCATCCAAATATATACTTGTATATCAATGTACAAACACTTATCCAGACAGGCAGCAAAGCCTCACCATAATATGACAAATTTCAATGGGTATATTAATAGCTTAAAACTATCTATCTTACCAAACTGGGCTGGATAGCACTTCCTTTCCATCAAAGCTGAAAATGCGTGGCTTCTGAGGAAAGATGCCTCCTGATCCAGAGAATATTCCCCGCCATGTGTTGAACAGTACTTCGCCCTATAATAACATAGGTGGATTAATCTGTAAGGTATATAGACTGTACTACAATGTACATTGTATATAGGTTCAGTAATTCTTGTCTAAAGGCCAGTTACAGCAGCACATCTAAAAGGAAGGAGGGGACTGATGGAACAAAGAGTGAAAAGACAATTAGACAAAATTAAAAAAGAAAAAAATAGTTGAGGAAGTGATAGCAGCGACAAATTAGTCAAAGAAGTTGGGTTGGGTGAAATTTACATGAAGGTGAGTTGACCAACAAGATAGTGTTTCGAGGGTGGATTGAAAACTTCATTGACAGAAGAAAAGAATATTAATTGGGTATTAATGTATGGTTGGAGGCATTGCAAAGGTAAAGAAATTGCCAAAAATAAAAAGTTTCTTTTATAAAACATTAGTTGAGTTACCCGGCTTTGCATGGGTGGAGATAGAGCACAGCCAACCCCTTTGCCATCTGCACCTCCCTACCATATTTCAGTTCTCTATCTTCAAAGCTGTGGAAATGCATACGGAAAAAAAACTTTATTTTTTAAAACCAGTTTTTGTGATATAGTCCAGAATGCGAACGTCTAGCTTAATGCTTAACAATAAATCGCCAGGCCAACAAACAGGCAATTAACACATCTAATAATTACTTAATACATAATATTAGGAAGGACACGCCACTACCTGGCATTTAATTGCAATTCTCAAAACCCCCTCCCGCACCCTCCATCACACCCATTGCTACCGTCATCTCTTGCCCTAGAGCGAGCTGTAAACAATTGTGAACTCTCGAGGGGTGGAGATGGGTGGGATGTTGACGTAGCATTCTGGGCTATATAACAAAAACTGTTTTTTTAGAAAAAAAACGGGTTTTTGTTCAATCCAGAATGCGACGTCTAGCTTTGATTACCCGAACAGGAGGTGGAGAGGGAGGTGACATGTTTTTTTCTTCAATATAAGGAACATTTACCGGAAAGTAAAATGTTAATTTAATTATTCCAATTAGGATACTCACTTTACTCTGATGAGGAAGAAGAAGGTCCTGGTTGTGGAGAGTAACTAAGTGGGGGACGGGACCCCAGTATCACCACATGTGAAGCATCTTCCAGAGATAGATGAAGATAGCTGTTTTGAAAGGTTTTTAAAGATTTCCCAAAACCCACTTCTTCGATCTGACTGAGGCTCATATGCTGCAGAAAGGCCACAGATCCTGCATATTTTCTGGTGTTATGTGCCAAAAAATTTCTTGCCAGGGTCTGCTTTACTCACTAACTAAGATAAATATTTTGTCATTTGGCTAGGAGACAATTTCTTACCATCCTGTGATGAGAATACTTAGGGGCTTCGATTAGGGAATCTGGTTAACCATTCTTGAAGATTCCGAACTGGGCACAATATATGAGGAACCCTTGTCTCATCCATCAGCCGTTTTATCCTGATAGGTTGAGCCCTTAAATCATCCCTTTCACTTGTTCTTAGAATCTCCGTAGGAAAAAGGGTGACATCTTCCTCAGAAAATACCAATAATGGGGGATTATTGGAAATTTAAATCAGCTCACTGATTCTCATACCTGTTGCTATTGCTAGAAGGAAGGCTGCCTTCTGGAACAGTCTGTCCCAGTTCAGATATATATATAATTAGGCCCCATAAGAAATTTAGTAACATTATCTAGAGACCAAGGTGGGATTCTCTTAGGCCGAGGAGGTCTCTGAATAAAAAAAGACTATCTGAGCATTTGATAAATTCTTGGGTTCAAAGTAATATTAAAACCCCACACCAGAGGGTCAACCAATGCTGATTTATAAGATGCAATTATCGATCCTTGAAGGCCTTTAACTCTAAACAGAAAATCTAAAAAATTCTAACACCACGGTTTCTGACAATGTGATTGGAGTCGTTATCCTGATAAATTGTTGAAAAAGTTTCCAATCTTTTTCATATTGCATAGAAGTTTGGGATCTATGACCTGCTATCACTACGATATTGGAATTACCCAACAATCAATTTAAACATCTTTCGAGAAACTCCAAGCGTAAAGTGCCAAGGATATCTCAAACTGAGGGTGCAGTACCTGTTCTAGATATCCCTGTTGCAATTGTAGTGGATGCAGGCACCAGTCCAACAGATCGAGACACCATGGTTATAAGATCCAATATGGTGCAATTAAGAGGACCTTCCCTTGGAAGGATCTGAGTTTGTGAACCACTTTGGGGAACATTTTGACAGGTGGGAACAGATAAATTGAATTCCAATGGTTCCAATCTATGAGTAGAGCATTTCCTAAAAGATTCAACCGTTCCAGAGATGCATAAATTGGCATCTTGCGATTGTTTTGTGAGGCAAAGAGATCTATTTGTGGAGTCCCAAACCTCCTCACTAGACTCTTGAACTTAGATATCTTAGGGACCATTCTGTTTCCGTCAATACTGGTCTGAGATGGGACAACGCATCTGCCCAATTGTTTTGTACTCCCGGTATATCAGTTGCTTTGAGGTAAAGTGTTTGTGTTACACAAACTATGAAAATTTTTTCCGATAGGTTTAGAAGAGGCCAAGATCTGGTTGATCCTTGATGGTTGAGATAAAACACTGCCGTTCTGTTGTCCATGGCAAACAGAATCGTCATGTTTTTGAAATTTGGGTTTGCCAACAAAAGAATAGGACTACTGCTAATTCTTTTGTGTTTGTGTGTTTGTCCCAAAGGGAGTTGCTCCACTTCCCTTGACGCAATTCTCCTTTTGAGGAATGGTATCCCCATCCTATTTTGGACGCATCCGTATAAACGACCAAGTCTGTTTGAGGAGGAACCCAGGGAGATGAACCGATTAGATTGTCCCAATTTTTCCACCAAGACAGAAGATTCTTGATCTGAATCGGGAGAGAAAAAGCAAAATTTCTGGTTTTGTGAAGCAAATTTGACCCCGGATGAATTAGTTGCTTCTTCTTTAACTTGCCCAAAGGAACTACTATTGTGGCAAAATTCAACAGACCCAGTAGTTTTTCCCAATCGTGCCAAGAAACCTCTTGCTTTACACAAAAGGCGTCTACTTGGTTTATCACATCTGTTACTTTTGCTCCTGGTAGACTGACTGACTGCTGATTTGTGTCCCAATGGAGACCTAACCAATCCAATTTCTGACATGGTATGATATTGGATTTGACCTGGTTTATCTTTAATCCTAGGTTTTGAAATAGTACTAGTGTACGTTGGGTCGCCCTTTGACAATCTTCAAAAGAGTTTCTCCCTATCAGCCAATCGTCTAGATAAGCAAAAGTTCTTCCTTCGCAAGGATCTCTCTCGGGATGTTTGCCAATTTTGTAAACACTTTTGGCAGAATTGTCAGGCCGAATGGCATCACTGTGAATTGATAACTCACATCCCCCACTGCGAACACTAGAAATTTTCTGTACCTGGAAGCAACAGGCACGTGATAATAGGCATCTTCGAGATCCACTTTTGAGATCCAAGTATTGGGCGGAAGTAGATGCCTCGATGCTCGTAAGTGAGCATATTGAAACTTGTTTTGGGAATGAACGTGTTGAGGATGGAAAAATCTAAAATCCACCTCAAGTTGTCACTGACTTTCTTGTGGACTTGGAATAGGCGAGACATGAAACATTTCTCTGAGTGCAACAGTTCTATCACACCTCTGTTTAACAGTTGAATTACAAATTCTGTCAGTTAGGGGGTTGGTTTTTTACCCCTTTTTGGTAACACTAGGGGAGGGCGCCTCAACCAAGTCCAGGTGAGGCCCCCATTGATTGTTTTGTAAGCCCATATGGAAGAAGTCCACCTGTTTTCCCAACCCCCTAGCCAGACAGCTGGGTCGTCTAGGGCCTAGACGACCCAGCTGTCTGGCTTCATTGGAAGGGAATAGTCGCTGATGTGGTGGAATAAGGTCTCCTTCCACTTCTGACCAAATGGCCACCCTTACTACTTCTTGAATTGTTTCCTCCTCTAAAGTTTCCTCTATGTTGACAACTGAACCTAGCAGCTGGTCCTGTTCCCCTGTTAGACCTTCCTCTTTTAAATTTCCGAAAGGTCTGAGGACTCCTTGGAACAGTACTATTAATAGTTTGCTCAACAGCTGATCTATACTTAACTAATGTTTGTTCATCAAACAAGGCAGGAGAAAGAGAGGAAGAACATAGCAATAAATAAGCACTACCACTTGAAACATTATTACTGGCTTGCTTCCTTAACTGGGCTTTTAGTTTTAGGGCTTTCAACGACATTTCCAAAAATGAGTTGTACAGGGAATATGGAATCCCTTGTATAGCAGCAGCAAAACATGTGTCTACTTCTGAACTGTCCTCATAGTCCAGCACAAACTTAGTCTATAACTGACACATCATAATGGCAGACCAAATATCCGTTGCAAGCTTATATCAGCATATTTTGGAGCCGACAAATACCGGGAAAGTTCATATAAGGAACTCTTTTCATTATTGAATTGGAACTACAAAAGCTAAACTTGTGAGCATTCCTATCTGAGGGAATGAATGTTAAGTCTTTCAATATATTAGCCCAGACTTCATCGAATTCAGAGATCATTTTGGGGCAAATATCAGGCCAAAAAATTTTAGTATCACCTTCTAGAAACAATGAATGATGACCTACAGTTGCTTGGCCTTCCTGTCTCTTTGTAAGTGCTGAGAGATCAGGAAGTTTAGAAACATTCTCATAAAATACCTTGAATAAGGAATCCACATACTCGGATGTGGTTGAAAACAAAGAAGACTTAGATCTTACCAATGTTATGCAAGGCCTCATGGGATCATCCTTACATTCAATGTCATCCATCAGCTGATTGGCAGTCGACAACAGCCTGTTTCCACTCATAATAACCAAGATTTTTGCCCCAGGTGGAAGTGGTTGCCAAAATGGGGACAGGATGAAGTCAGTCTCAACAGGTTCTCCCTGCTCTGGTTACTGAACACTGTGACTAGAGCCAGCTTCCCCATCATGATCCTGGAATCCACTAAAATCAGACTGACTAGGTAGAGGTTCTTGTAATCTCCCTACTGCCTCATTATCTAGAATATCCAATAACCTACTTTTCTTAGCAGAAGTAGGTTGGTCTAATTGGGGATAAGTCTCTTATCAATCACCCATAATTCTGAACTTTCTGCCAACTTGGGATCTTTCCAGTGTTTTACATTTAGAAATTTACTCTTCAAGGCTATGTTCCATCTATTTTTAAGTTGGATCTGCAATAATTCTCTCTTATCTCCTGCAGCTTGATTAATTTTAAAAATTTGATCGTAACAGACTGCACAATCCAATGGTGAAAACAGCTGCTTCGCCAGCAAGAAGATGACGGTAGCAATAAGTGTGATGGAGGGTGCGGGAGGGAGTTTTGAGAATTGCAATTAAATGCCAGGTAGCGACGTGTCCTCCTAATATTACGTATTAAGTAATTATTAGATGTTTTAATTGCCTGTATGTTGGCCTGGCGAGTTATTGCTAGGCATTAACATACCTAGGTATAAAGTTTGACGTCGCATTCTGGATTGAACAAAAATTTATATTTCGTATGTAGAATACAGTACGCACTGTATATTGTATACTGTATATTGTAGATTTGAATAATTTTGTTAACAGCATATGGGCAGAGGAAAGATTGAATATTGGGATGCTGGTGGAAAGCTCTCTGAGACGAAAGAAGTTGCATAACAAAATGTTAGTTGAAGAGAACTGATATATGGGATTGAGAGAAGAATCTTGTTACTGGAAGTTAGTTTGAAGGTAAAGATGCCAAGAGGAATCTGGTTAAAGAATAGTTTGAGCAAAATATGGTTGAGGAAAAAATATTCTAGAGGAAAGAAGACTGAAGGAGAGATGGAAAGTATGGTGGGAATAGTTGGCTTAAGAAAAAATTAATTGAGGACATTAAGCATTTAGCAAATTTGCTGCTATTAAATTGGTTTAAATAAATGCAACAGAAGAATTGATGTTTAGGAAGTAGGAAGGAGGCCAAGAGGAATTTGGGTAATGAGAAGTCAGCAGTACAGAGTTTGAAAAAAAATAATGGAAGGAAATTATTTCCACTATCTTTTGCATTATTACGAGTAACTAAATGTACAGTACAAGGATTTATTAATTACTAACTTTTTCATTAATAATACATTTGTCCTTTCATCATTTCACAACATTAATGTAGTATTTCCATCAATAAAAAGCTCCCGCTTTCTTATTATTCACACAATTATGTTAAAACTCATGTAAAAAAAGAAAAAAATGAAATGTCTTACTAATCTTAGTAATAGTAACAGAAGGTTCCACTGACCTTAATATTAACAACAGGCAGGTCTCTATCAGTGTATCTGACGATGGAGTCCAGGTTTTGCACCCTGGATGTGAGGAAAGCCCTGAAGGTACCCCTGAGGCCTGCCCTGCGTGCCTGTCTGTAGCATGCATAGTCGGCTCCCCTCACACCATGCATGTCTCCACTGTAGGGCTGGTTCAGGGCTGCCAGCCGTAACTGAAGGAACAATTGGGATTACTATGATGAGCTCTGAAAACTATTTATTCCTTGGAAGGTTATTTACAAAAAAAATCATAATTTAATTTGTGAAAGGTGTGTGTGTGTGTGTGTGTGTGTGTGTGTGTGTGTGTGTGTGTGTGTGTGTGTGTTTTGTATTACTGCATATTCGTAACAGGTAGAAGGTAGTAGGCAGCTATCAAACATGGAGGTATGATTGTCTTGGAAAATGTTGGAAGTATTATGTGCTGTCTAATGGTAGACCCTGCTGTAATATGGCATCACAAAAATTTTAACCAAGTCACAGTTTACTAATCTGACTGACTTTCTGCCTCATTTACACACAATTGCAAGGTCTAAATTGTTTCTCTTACTTTGGCAACACAACATATACTGTATATATTTTCTCAATCTTGATATTTTATTGCCCCTAGGCCCCGATGTGGGTCAGTGACCTGTGCCCGGGTGGGTAAATTCCCACAAAACAAAATAAAAATGCAGCAGTGTAGTTTTAAGAGAGACAAACCATGTGGGGCATCTTAAGTAACTGCTCTTAGTACTATCACTGGTGCCTATATCCTTACTGCCTTAACAGACTATGTAAACATAGTATTATGGCTTTGTGAGTTAACCTTTTACACAGGACAGGGAAGCACCAACAATACCTGTGCTATGTTCCCTCCTGTCTTGATGATCCTGTGTAGTTATGCATGTGTTATTTGCTTTATAAAAGATGGTAAAAATTCAAACCCCCCAGCCATGTTCTCTTCCTTAGGGGGAACTTTGTTATAAAAAACATTTTTTTTTATTTTTTTACAGGCCAACTGATCTTTTACTGATATAGAATTCCATGAAAAACTTTAGGTAACAACACATTAGCACCACTGTATGACTAGATAATATTCTAGTACAGTATGATAAGCATTGTGATTTTAACCAAGAGTTTGTACAACTAAATTTTCTTTCTGTCCAAACCAAATGTTTTACATGTCATATCCTAAAATTCATACCAACGTTGTTTTTCTCCACCTGTTAAATGGCCTTACTTATTGAGTGAGAAATATTGGAACATCATCATTTAATATAAATTTAAATAGAACTCACTACTAATTTAACAGTAACTACTTACATTTATTTTCATGTAAAAGTTTCTGAAGCATGTTTTAATTTTCTTTTATTTTCTTCCTCACATTCTTCAAATTATTTTAGTTAATCCTCCTGTATTAGCTTTTATTTATTGTATTGTTTATTCTTATAATAAAATTGCAATTGTCTAGGCTTATGACAGTTTGCTTTTCTGTAAGTTAGTTTGACTCATTTTTTACTTCTGACAAAAGCTTAAATTATGAAAACCAAAGATTGAAAAGCATCATACATGATTTTTTTTCTTGTATGCTGTATTTCTATTCAAAAGTTTTCTGTTCTGTTCTGAAACTTTGTGGAACAGCAGAGATACCTAATGTTATACAGTAAGTCCTCGCTTAACGTCGGGTTTATGTTCCTAAAAACGCGACGTTATACAAAACATCGTTAAGCGGATCAATTTTCCCCATAAGAAATAGATAAAATACAGATAGTAGGTAGTAGACAGCTACCAAACAGGGATGTAATACCGCCTGAGAAGATATTGGAAGCATATTGTGTTGTCTAATGGTAGACCCTGCTGCCATATGGCATCACGAAAATTGGGACCAAGTCCCAGGTTGTTAATCTGACTTTCTGCCTCATTTACACACAATTGCAGGGTCTCAATTGACAACACAACATACATATATATATTGTTTCTCACTTTTGATCTTTTTTCTTTATGGTTCTTTTTTATTATTATTATTATTATTATTATTATTATTATTATTATTATTATTATTATTATTATTATTATTATTATTATTTTATTTTCATTTTAGTATTTTTTATTACAAATATTATTTACTCTGAATTATTATTATTATTAATATTATTATTTGTATTATTATTAGTAGTAGTACTAATACTTTACTACAATTACTACTACTACTACTACATTACAAATGGCCTCCATCCTCCCCTTATAGCCATACCTTTGCCGCCATTTTATTACCTTGAAATTAAATATCCTAATACATAAGTAGCTATCGTAGCTGTGTTGAGTTAGTTGAGCCGCAGATCTATGCAGCATTCAGTGACTGTTGCCTCATGGTCAATATCTGCAACCGTTGTCAGCTTTGGATCCGATGCTCTCATTCCCCTAAGGCAGAGCAAAGCCGACCTAAGGAGAGAGATGGACAGTCGACATCTCATCCAGGCTGTAACATAACTTCTGGGCTGCTGCTTCTTCTCTGATAGAACCTCTGCGAGTCTGGCATAGAAGCATCTTGCACTTGGTCCCATCCCACCAGAGGTTGTGAACACTAGAGGAGTGAAGCTGCCTTGATCAACGTTCTGAATTCTCTCCCCGTATGCCCTTATCTTGCCGTTCTCGTTCATCCTGTGTGCAGCATCGAGAGCTAAGTTATGGAGACATGTGGCCATGGGATAAAAAATCCTGATGTTGAAGAAGGCTCGCTGTTCCCGCATCCAAAATCCTCGAGCACTGACGTCAACACAGGATTCGTTGGATGTGTTTGAAGCCATATGTTGGAAATTCTCACCATCCAATGGAAGGAGAGTCGGTTCTACCCTGACATCACGACAGATTTCCTTCAACATTTTTGCTGTGAGATCCCTTACTTCGTCATGCCTCATGCATATGAAGCCCTATTTCTTGCACACCATGGCGTGATCGACGTCAAAGGAAGGACCACACACGCATTGGGAGGGCAAACCTTCTACTGGCCTACAGTACCTTAGAGCATTGGCATCTGTAAATTCTTGTTTATTGAGACTGAAACCATTTGCTGTTATCTGTAATGTAGTTTACCAGTTTGAGGCATCCACCTCCTGTGCTAGAGCTACTTCTTTTCTTCAAATTCTCTGGTACTTGCAGCAACAGTTGCTGCAACTTATCACTTTGGCCATACTGTCGTTCTGTCGTAATGGACCTTCGAATCTTGTTTCCTTCACTGGTATCCACCTCCCCTGTTGCGTTCTGAGCTATTATGTGGTCCGTGAGAGCTTCCGTGAGCTTAACTGAGTTTTGATGTTCAGTGGCAGCAATCTCCTCCGGATTGGTCAATCCCATTCCTCCCAGTCTCGGTGGCAGTGCAAGGAGTGATCTTTCTGCTGGGGTTAATTGAGGGTGTTTCACTAATTTGGGAATGAAATTGACGCTGATAGCTTCTTCCAGATGGTGGAGGAGGGGTCCGATATCAGGGATGGTGCACATCAGGTAGTTTCAGCTATGCTTGACTCCATGGGTGAATGCCGCAAAAGCCACATGTGGCGCTGTGTTAGCAATCTCAAACAGAGCTTGGATTTCCCTAACCCACTCATTCACCTTTCCCATTACGTATTCGGCCTTGAAGTCCGTCGTGCCAATTACTGCGCCTAGGTGTTTTTGGCACTCCTTTGATATTTTGACTTTACTTCCACCGAACACCTCCATTGCCCGTTCATAATGTTCTGGCTTCACAATGGGGAAGGACTTGCTGGCGTTTGGGTGGTCCCCTGTTTGTGGACCTAGTGATGTTACCAGGTCCCACCACTTTTTGATGTCTTCCACTTTTCCTGCTCATGTAAAGTCGTCAGCGTACGCCACTTGCTTGACCTCAATTGTTTCCAATTTTATTGTGTGTTGGAGCATGGATAGGCCTATTGCCTACATTGCCATTGCAACAGGGTCCCCCTGCGTTGTTCCCTTAGTTGACAGTATGATTGTATGATAGTATCACCTCTTAGAGCCTTGTTGTTTACTATATAGAGGTCTGATGGAATCCTTTAGGAGTTTTCAACATACATTGCTATGCTTGGACACTTGATCTTGATGTTGTGCAGTGCGGCCATGCGGTTAAGTATGTTGAATGCGTTTGAAGCGTCCACCAGAAGAATGACCTCACAATCACGCTGCTCAAATCGCGTTCTCATGGCTTGAATGGCAACTTCCCCTCCAGCCTGGTGGCCAGCACAAACTTGCAGGTTCCCTGCTGCTGCCCGGACATCATCCTTTACCACCTCCATTATGCATTTTCCTATGATCCTGTCTCAGCACTTCCTCCACCCCTATAGGCCTACATCCTGGATTCTTATCCAGGGGAATGAGGCGGCAGGCCGTCAGAGCATGGAGGTGTTGGCGGCACGAGGATGTCAGCTTTCTTGCAAGGACGGCAATGGCCGTGCAGAGATCACTTACTACTTGGTCAAACTTGTTAGTGCTGAGGATGACTCCCCAGCCATTTGCATCCAGACCTGAAGGGCCGGCACCTCCCTGAGTCTTCAGTGCCTTTTTCCACACATCCCTCCTCATATTTTCTCGAACAGGACAGCATTTGGTGGGATATAGTCACCCTGGAACCTGATGCCTTCGTCTTCACTTACAAGGGGATGTTTTTCTTTCAGTTGTTTTAATGTCTCTCTGTTTATTAGCATAACCCCAACGGATGATTCCTCTGTGAGAGATCTTACTGCCAAAGACACTTTTCCCACACTCATTTTGTTTCCAAACTTTCTTGCAACGTCATCGGTGTTTTGCTTCCATCTCCTATAAATTTTAGTCTCTCCTGCAGTGTTCTTGTTAACATAGTTGACTCACTGCTATCATTTAGGATATCATTGGGCGGTTGGGTCCCGGCGATATCCACTGTGGCCTCCTGTGTCGGCTCCCTGCTTTAAAATTAAATATCCTAATACATAAGTAGCTATCCTAGCTGTGTAGAGTTAATTGAGCTGCAGATCTATGTGGCATTCAGTGACTGTTGCCCTATGGTCAATATCTGCAACTGTTGTCGGCTTTGGATCCGCTGCTCTCATTCCCCTAAGGCAGAGCAAAGCCGACCTAAGGAGAGAGATAGACAGTCGACATCTCATCCAGGCTGTAACATAACTTCTGGGCTGCTGCTTCTTCTCTGATAGAACCTCTGCGAGTC